GGTTAAATGGGTGGGGCATATGAGGGGAAAGAAATGGCAATAAAAAATAGAGAGTATAAAAATTAGAAAATTATAGGAACAATTGTTTAAATAACCTAATGTTTTGCGCGCGATAATTAAAATGATAAATACAACCAATAGGAAACAAGAAATCCCTAATAGTATCCACGTAGGGAATGCAATCGTATATCGACTCTAAATCGAATTGCAGAGCTCAAAGTCAGACCACTAAAGATGTGCTTTTGTTCCTCATTTTTTAAACTCGCGACGGCTTCGAAGCCAAAAAGCAATCGCATGTCGTCAAAAAAGTAAAACTAAAATTAACTAAAAAATTAACCAACTTAAACTACACTAGAAACAAAAGTAAACGAAAACTAAATGATGAACCAAAATTAAACGAAAAACTGAACTAAACTAATAAAGCTAAAAGTGACCACAGGATGCTAATTAGTTATGAGGAGTGCAAAATGAATGAGCTGTGCCCTAATTTTGTGGTGAGGAAACATGCTTAATACTACGAAATAAGTATGCAGTTATGAGAAGTAGGCGTAGTGAGCCCGAAACGGAACTGTCACCAAGTATTAAAATTACGTCATCTTCGGGACTAACTGGCAAGGGATGGAACAGTTTCGTCCGCCGCTGCCTCCGTACACGCCTACGGGGAACAAATGGAGATGACAGAAGGGTCAAATGAACTTCTTGCTAAGCTTAGCTGACGAATAAACGAATCTTTATTAGAGAAGATAAAAAACTGCAGTTAACCTGAGGGACGAGTGTGAGAACTACTTCATCTTCGGGACCAACTGTCAAGGGCAGCCTTGTCAGCCGCTGTCTTCGTACATACTTACGGGGAACAAGCGGAGGAAAGCTATCAACACTCCAACACCCTGCGTCGTATATAAAGAGGGTGGCAGAAGCAACAGAACGTACTTCTGCAGAATAGGTCGGCGTGGGTATCGCCCATCGTCAGAGGGCTACCATGCGTAGGCGAATCGTTCAAATAAAGGACTGACTTGACGCAAGTGAGCAGTCTGGTGTCGTTAATCGAATGCCATGCCGCGACTGTTCTTCACATTATACAGGTCATATTTCTACGCACTACACCAACAAGTCCGGGGGCGTGACTGGTTACCTTGCGCACCGGTTGAGAGTCAGATGAAGACTTTTCTGTGAAGTTTTTCAAAGTTTTAGTTTCCTCAGAACCCACTGTGTCAATTTTAAGTCAACTCCTCGGCGTAAAGTTCCTCAGATCCCGTCAGAAAGTTCAACCTGAAATACACCACCTTCAGCGGAATAATCGCATGATATTCACATTCTGACCACAAGCAGTCAGTAGTATATAAATACACAATAGCAACCCGAATACTAGTCAAAGGCTACACATGTGTTCGGCTAATTCAGTGCTGCTGTGGGATGCAACTTGGAGGGGTTCGGCTGTGAGAAATTGACTGACAGTTGAACTACCGGCAGATAAACATTGCCGACAAAGACCAGCGAGACTGGAATAATAATTTCTGGCACATTAGCCGTCATCAGTCAGCCATACCAAACCCAAGGTGGGGCACTACCCGCGACGTGTTGATCAGAAACCCAAAGTTAGTGGATGGGCTGGTTGTCTGGTCGGTTTAGATCGGTAGATGAAAGTTCACTGATCGCTAACGAAATTCGATCAGTGAGCATTCACTAACCAATGTCAATATTTTTTATCTAAACCGGCTGTTAGCGGGGTTTGAGCGTGAGTCCCAAGGCAGAAAGGGACGGGTCATTTCCGTTCGGTAAGCGTTTATCAACGAAAGTTAATCAACGAGACTTCCTAAAAACTACCGAACATTTTCGCTTGACAGACCGAACAATTTTCAGGCAAAGAACAAAGGTGGCATTTAGGAGGCAGGTGTAGTCCTTCGTCTAAGTGATGCAGGTACGATGGCCCCCGTGCATGGGTCAACTTTCAACAAGCGAGGCCCACTGCCTAACACTTACCAAGTCAAACATCCAGCCACATGAAACAAACAACACGCTAATTGTTTGCACTAAGAAGAGAATGTTGGCTGAGTCATGCAGGAGACGGTAGAGCAGAGCGTGAACTTAGCGAGCCAGCAGTTTGACGTCATCTAGCATCAGATGCTTGCAGTCTGTCTGAGCTTCTAACTACCCATTGTCTGTTAAAACAAGTGTTTTAATTAGTCTTCCCGTGTAACATTCCACTTGATGTGTCCCTTTCCAAGAATGCAACACAGTTTCCGCCCCATATTATATCAATTCAAGTCATGTTGACTCCCTCCCACCGGAGAAAGGAAGGATATTCACTTGGTGGAATCCTACTTTGGGTTCCATAAATTGTTTAAATAATCTAATGTTTTCGCAAAAAAATAACGCTCCACAAATAAACACAGAAATTTACACACATACCGGAGTTAAACTAGTATAGTTCGCGGGGCTTCGCGCCACGCACACCTTCAGGTTACACGCGCAACAACTTGAAGTTAGTTTAGTTTATTTGGTTTTTTTTACTTCTTTATATTTAAGTTTAGTTTTCAGCTTAATTTTAATTCATCATTATGGTTACTGTTTTTATTTTAGTTTTAAATTATTTTTTACTTAAGTGAGTTTGGCTTACTTTATTTTAAGTTTTTAGTTAGCCGATGTTAGTTTTAGTTAGTTATTTTTAACTTACTTATTTCCCAATATTTGCATGGCACGCTCTTTTGTCGGCAAACATGATGTTATTTTAACAATTATTCCTTTTTTCTACCTTTATAAACCTCTTTTATTTATATTTCCTTTCCTTTGTATTGCCTATACTGGATACTTTTTATTACACCCGCTCCCGTATGACAGAAGGATGGGGCTTTTGCGTGCTGATCTGGGACCCAAAGTAGGATTCTACCATGTATTGATTCGCCAAGTTTTCCATTACTAATTGTGCGAAACTATGCTGCCAGAGTAGAGAAGACCATTTCGTTCCTTGGCAAGGCAGAATGAAATGAGTAGTAGTAGTAGTAGTATTAGTAGTAGTAGTAATAGTAGTAGTATTAATAGTAGTAGTGGTAGTAGTAGTAATAATAATAAAAGCAGTATTAGTAGTAGTAATAGTAGTAGTATTAGTAGTAGTAGTAGTAGTAATAGTAGTAGTAATATTAATAGTAGTAGTAACTTACCGATACGGAGAGGTAGATGAGCATGATGGAGTCCGTGGCCAGGAAGAGGTCGTACAGCCGGTGAATGTCATTACTGTTGGAGAGGATGTGCGTGAACCAGGTGAGCACCCAGGAAAGGGTAAAAAAGGGCTCCAGCTGGAGATTCTGAAGACGGCTCCAGATGTCGGGAGAGGTCATCTC